TGGTGTCGTTTGACTATGCTTTCAAGTATCTTTTGAAAAATAAAGACAATCACATAATTATTGAAAGCTTTGTTTCATCAGTTTTCAAGACTTGTGGCTATAGCAATATAAAAATAGTCTAGATGCTTGATGCAGGAAGCAATAAAGAACATTCTAAATCTAAAAGTAGTTTAGCTTTATTGTCGAAGACCAAAAGCATCGCTTTTATGTTGTCGAAATTGACAAAAGTTTTAAACAATCGTATATTCATAAAGCGCTGTTCAATACCTCTAGGTTATTCGTGGACAGTATTGCTGAAGGATCAGACTATACCAAAATTAGTAAGATATTTCATATCTCTCTCCTTTTTTTCCTAATTGGAATCGATACTGTATATCATGGCAAGTTGATTTTATTTGGTTTAAGTTCGGGGGAAAAACTAACGCCTTGCTATAATAATTTAAACCATTTGGAAGTAAGCGACGCCACCGCAATTTTTCCCGAATATTTAATTATATCAATACCAAAGTTTAACGACTGTATTGAGAAAGAACTCAATGAGTGGCTTTTTTTATAAAAAAAAGACCGTGTTCCACCAAATTGCACTTTAAATTGTGTAAAAATCATTGAGGAGAAGTTGAGCATCCTAAAAATACAAGAACAGGAACAAAATAAGTATTTGTCCTATAAAACTAAAATTATTGATAAAAAAGAGATTTTAAAATCTGCTACATTAAAGAGGAAGGTAAAGAGGATGGTGAAGAGAAAGGTAAAAAGGAAGGTATTTTAACAGTTGCAACAAACTTATTGAAACCTCGGTCAAACATTGACTTTATTTCAAGCATGACTGGTTTACCGAGAAGTCAAATTGAAAATTTGAATAAATAATATCGCTCAACTTGTTATTATGGTGTTCCAAGAAACAACATTTTTTAAAATAAATTCTACCATCCTCATGTCCAATTCTATATGATAAAAAAATATTGGTTTTAAAAGGTTTTTGTATTAAAAATGTTTTAAGAGGTCCCTTATGACCCTTGAACATACAAATATCTTGTATTATTTAAAACAAAGGTTTTTTTAAATATTATAATTTTGAGTTTCAAAAAATTGAAAAAATAATAGTTGTATTGAAAAAAGCAGGGTCCCAGTCGGCACATCTGGTATTGTAAATGCCCAGAGAATTGATCGCGTATTACATACCATAATTGATACCCAAAAAATACGCATTTAATTTACAATTTTAAACTCGAGTTTGTTACGAAAAATAAATTAAAAACACGTATATACATAGATATACTCTATATTTTAAAACGTTTTTAAAACCGTATAATGAAAAATTACAATTTGCGTGTAAAGCGCATGCGTTTATTGAAATCGCTAAAGAAAAAATTGATAAGTAGTATGATAAAGATAAAGATATAAAGTATATAATGATATAAAGTTTAAAATCTAAAATTAAAATCTAGTATATCTGTATTAAGTTCTGAAATGAAAAGGAATCGTAAAGTATACATGAAAAGTTACATGAAGAGATATCGTTCAGCTAAAGAATCCACATTATGTGAGAATGTATATATTCCCAGTACAACTGTTTGCACTGAAATGTCGTCAAACTCATTAGTTGATACATCTGAAGATATATTGCTACCGGAAAACAAAAGTCGCAATGATTTAGAAGAATTAAGTCTCTGTAATAGTGGATATGTATCAGAGGACAAAAATGATTGTCAATATGATGTATCAAGTATGGATGATTTTTCTAGTGATTTTGAATTCAGTGATAACAATTCTGAACCAAAACCAGTGTATTTAATTTGTGAAGAACTTGCAAATATTGCTGTAAAGCACAATTTAACAAGAGATGCTATAAACGATATTCTACAAATTCTAAGAGAGTCTGGGAAATTTGAAAAATCTGACATACCAAAAGATGCCAGAACATTAACTAGAACGCCACGTTCTATTGATGCATTAAGCAAGTGTAATGGCAGTTACATTTACCTAGGTTTGAAGAAAGGAATAGAGGATATATTTGCTAACAATACAGTTGAAGTGGACATTAATTTTATAACTGTTGATGTAAACATTGATGGACTCCCTATTCAGCGCTCCAGCAATTTGCAGTTGTGGCCAATTCTTTGTTCAGTTATCAATATAAAATCTTGTCCATTTCCAGTGGCTATATATAGTGGAAATGCAAAGCCATCAAATGTACATGATTTTTTTTATGATTTTGTTGCAGAAGTTAATAATCTAATAATTAATGGGTTAAAAGTTAATGAAAAGCAATATAAATTTAATTTGCGTTGTTTTATTTGTGATGCTCCAGCACGTGCATTTGTTAAATGTTGCTATGGTCACACATCAAAAAATGGGTGTGAAAAGTGCACTTCTGTGGCAGAGTATTACGATAAAAGAATTGTTTATACAAGCGATAACGCAAACTCGAGAACTGATGTCGAATTTAGGTTGAATGATTATCCATTACATAAGAAAGGGAACAGCCCATGCTTGCTTATAAATAACTTAAATATGATACATTCTTTTGTCATAGAACCTATGCATAATTTATTTCTAGGGGTGTGTCGTCGGTTTCTATTTTTTTTGAAGTTCAAATCAAAAATTCATATTAGCTTTGCTCAGCAACAACTGATTTCAAATCGAATGTTAGAAATAGCCCAGTCCACTCCTTCCGATTTTGCTAGACGTCCAAGAGGTCTTTCTGACCTAGAACGCTGGAAGGCAACAGAATTTCGTCAATTTACTTTATATACAGGAATTATTGTTTTAGAGAAAATTTTGGACAAGGAAGTTTATAGTTTGTTTGTTTCATTTGCTGTAGCTGTAAGGATTTTACATATAGAGAACAATAATGACAGAAATGAATTATTACCATTTGCTAAGCAACTTTTTGCCACTTTTATTCATAATTCACGTAAGATTTGTGGTAAATCTTTTGTAACTTTTAACGTTCATAATTTGCTTCATATTGTTGATGATGTCAAATATTATAATTGCTCCATAAATGATATATCTGCATTTAAATTTGAAAACTACTTGCAGTATTTAAAAAGAACAGCAAGAAATGAAAAATGTAATCCACTTGTATCAATAGCTAAACGATTTAAAGAGCGCTCTATTCTTTCCAACCCTTCAGGATATTTTATTAAAAGTGCTATTGGTAAAATTTCAAATTTTAAAAGGAATAAATATTTTTTAAGCAAAAATGGAATGTATTGTGAAGTAATGGAAAAACTACTTGAAGAAGGAGAACAAAAATATTTATGTAAAGTTATAAGCAAGCATCATTTGCAACCTCTTTTTGTGACCCCATTAAACAGTGCTGCATGGGGAATTATGAAATATTCAAAATTTAATAAAGCAAAATGGAAGTTGATAGTGCTAAAAAGAAGTGAGTTTTTACATAAACTTTACGTCATGAATAACGCTCTTGGAGAATTGGCATTCTTTCCTATGTTACATGAAGTCAATTAAATTTCATGATATGTTATTATAAATAGCTGTAAATGATATATATTTAATTTTATTTACTTATTTGTTGATTATTTATGTTTTATTTTTTTTAAATATATCTTTATTTTCAATTCATTTCTTTTTAATTCCATTAAAGAAATTAAAAGTTATGTATATTAAAAAAATAATAGTTATAAAGAAAATTGTTTTATAAATGTTTTTTCAAATTTTTTATCTTGGTTTGTCCTTTTTTTTTACCTTGAAGTAACTATTCTAGATTGCTCTTGAAATCATTTGTGAAATTTCTTATTAATATCAAGAATTAGATTCTTATAAACATTTTAAATTATAATTGATATTTTGCAATATTAATGATCTAAATTTATTTGTTATTTAGAATTTGGAATTTGGATATAAAGTTTGGCATAAATTTGATTGTATTTATTGTTCTTTAGTTTCTATAGTTTAATAAATTCCATAGATATAATGCAATTGTAATTAACTATTTTAAACAATCCGTGCATATATGTAACTATTAATAAAGATAAATGGGATAACAAATAAATTAAATAATGAGATAAATAGATACTTATCAATTAATAATAATTTAAAACTAAAATGATGTAAATGTTTAAAAATAATATTTACTTAAAGAAAACAAAAAATACTCATTTAAAATTTTATTTTATGTTTAAATTTTTAATGCATAATTTAATAATAATTATGTCTGACTTTTTTAATTTTTGTCAATTTTCCCAGACTAATGGCTCATAGTAAATGCATGTTAATTAAAATGAGCCAGTCCTGAATTTTTTTTGTTTTTGTTTTAATACTTTTGCTATAGCAACAGAAAGTCAATATGTCTGACTTCCTTATTTTTGATTGGTATAAAAAGGGCATTTTATTCTATTTTTAATCTATTAGTAAAGACATCTGAAAATTTGTAAGTTTTTTTAAATTTATTGGATAATATATTTTTTAAACTCAGAACAATTTATATCCTATAATTCTTTTATTTGTTAATGTTTCTTTACATCTTTTATACTTATTTAATTAAATTAATGTTATTATTGATAAAAATGGAATTACTCAAATGAATTTATCAAATTTTTTTATAATTATCAAGCGAAGAAGAATGTTTCAGGCTGCATTGAGAAATCATAAATCAATTACTGTCCAGGTATCTGTAATTCCTAATTTATCATTTTTCAAAATGCTGGCATTATCAATCAATATATGGACATTTATCACTATTTGTTTCTTAGAAATTGTACTGTTTAGCTGTGTGGATTGAGAAGGAAACAGAAATAGAAGATGTTATTTCTTTTTGTTGGGTGGATGAAGCCAGTGAAGTTGTTAGATATCCATCAAAACTTGTTGATCCACTAAGGGTGATGATTGCAGAGTGTACACAGCCAAATCCTTCATGGTACTCATTTAAGCTTGTTAAAAGCGTATTAGTAGTAAGTTGTTTGTATATTTATTTCATGATTTTAATAAACTGATTGTATGTTAACATTTTATTTTTGTTTCTTTAATTTGTTGAAGGCTTAAAAAATGTTATTAGGTTTCATAAATCTGTTCTAGGTTGTTTTGATGAACTTGTCCAGCTTATGAAAGCTGGTATTTCAACTGAAGATGATTTGCCTCAAGATAATTCAGAAATCACAGGTTCTAAAAAAAAAAATCTTGCCCGACATTTTTTGTTGTTTATAATTAATGTTAAAAGAATTGTCTATTAAAAACCTTATTTATTTAAAACAAATATTGTATTAAATCTTACATTACATATTAAGGTCAGTATCAGGTAGGCATAAAATGTATCTGTTAGTATTTTTAAGCTTTATGATTATATTATATTCATATATATATTAAAGGTTGTGATACTTTGATCAATAGTTTTTGATAAAACTATTAAAACTTGAAATTAATTGTAATAATTAATTTAAAAGTGTAAAGAAAAAATAATATTATATGAAGTTAGTAACATTCTCTGTGTTTAACATTGTGAAATGCTAAACACATTAAATTACAATATTATTTTTTCTTTAAGTTATTATAAATTTATTATATATATAAAATTACTATAAATTTATTATATTTATCCAAATTTTAACATGAAAAGTAAACTGTTTAAATATGGTTAAAATTTTTATATATATTTTCATATATTTCAAGTATATAATTTTCCATGTTTCACTGATCAATCTCAGAGAGATATTGCAAAACACTTCTTTGTTGATTTCTGTCAAATTATTATTTTCCAATATACTGTGTTTTGGCATTTCAGGGTATTACTGACTATATTTTATCATGTTATTTTTCATATAGGTGATTTGTCTGATGTTAATGCAAAAATTCCGCTGATTTGTGGCATGGAGCAACAAAATGAAGGTTTTTTTTTTTTTTTTTTTTTGTTACTTTTTCTAAAGTATGTCTACATTACTTTTATAAAAATTATTTATGGAACATATATAATACATATTTACAGAACACGAAGAAGATGATGGAAGTCTGCTAGATTATCCGGTTTTTGGTTAGCATTTTATATATTATTATATTCTCAAATGCAGACATTCAAAAAATTTAACTGTTTTTTTATTTTGCAGAACTTAAAAGTGTGCAGAAAAGACCAATTAAAATGTCTTCGAATATTATTAAACCGAGTGTAAAGGCGAAAGACTTATCAGTTGTGGATTTCACTTCTATACCACATATTGCCAGTGAAAAAGTGTACAGCATTACTCAAGGTGGGTGTATATATATTTTAATTATTTTAACATTTGCCACTATGAATTACTCATAAGCAACCTTGTTTTAGATTATATTGGTTGATTGATATTGATTCAAATCACGATTAGGATAAAGTTCACGATAGGAACTTAGATTATATTGATAAACAGGGTGGTGCAAACACGAGTTGAATGGTTGGGAAATAGTTATTAAAAAAATAATATAATTTAATTAAATACTATATTAGGTCTCGTTTGTAAGCGTTCCTCCTGAATGCTTACAAACGAGGCTTAATATTTTTCTAAAAACTGTTTTTATAATTTTGTTAAGTAAATAAAGAACTATTCATAAACTAAAGCAATTTAATTTTAAGTGTTTGTTTATGGTGTTAAAAAGTGATTATTAAAAAAATTAAAATTGCGTCCAAATAAACTTTAGTTTGGTTCTAAAAACGTTCAAAATAAATAAACAGGGAGAGCTTTTGTTTTTTACAATCTAAATAAATAGTCTGAGCAAGACTAACCTCAGACTATTTATATTATAGTTGTTTTGATTTTAAGTTTTATTTATTTTAGATCTTTTGGTAAAAACTAAAACTTCAAGAAGGAGTTATCAAAAAGATGACAGTGCAGACGAAGAGACGATAAAACCTCTTTTTAAAAAAAAACGAAATGATACGGAAAACGAAATCATTGAAAATGATACGGAAGAAATAGCAACAACTTCTGGCAACCACTCTCAAATTGTTACAAAAACAATCAAAACCAATGCAAAAGTTGGTCGTCCAAAATCAGCAGCAAATGAGTGCTATCCACTCGGAAATGCTCAATTTCAGCATAAACTTTTTATGCATTTAAATGATCACAAAGAACGTTTAAAAAACATTGAAAAAAGTCAAAAAAGGATTTTAGAGTTCATATCAAATAAGGACAATGAAGATGGAAATAATGAGATTATCAAAGCTGAAACAATTGACCAGCTTAAAGAAATTAATTCAAAATTAATTATTGACGCCTTATATAAGAGTAAAATGAAGAAGGTATTAGAAGTCGTTGGTCTAACATGTAGCAATGCACGTCAACATATAAATGGTGCAATAAACACTGTAATGTCAGTTAACATTCAAACAAAAGTTAATGTTTTGTATGGAAACCATATTCCAAATAAAGAATACTGCGATCGCGTGTCTTTGCGCAGAGAACTACCAAACATTTTTCAAATTCTTGTTGATGTTGTCAGCAAAACATGGAGTGTGTCTGTTAAAGAATTGCAGAAATTTATGTCCGAATGGTTGAAGAATGCGCCGAAAAGAGCTTCAAAAGAAAGTTTCGCATGATATAGATACTTTGAGTTGCTGTATCTTCGTAATAGCATCAATAACTATTTTTAATTAGTTTTTAAACTTTATTTTTTTTTATAATTGTAAATTTATTTAATCCTGTTAATTTATACACATTTCACTAATTTATGGTTTTTAATTTCTATAACTATATAAGTTATTTTTGTTATAGTTCGAATAAAAATTCAAATATAGTGCATACTTTAAATATACATTTTTTTCATATAAATAGTGTATAATTAATAAAACATATTAATTAAAATTGATTGGAAGGAATTTTTAAATTCTGCCTTATAAATTTTTGCATTTTAAACTTTGTGATAACTGACAAAACATAATAATTAAAATTTGAATAAAAGAATTTAGTGTTAAGTTGAGTTTTGATTATAATAAACACTCAACTCAACTCTTAAATGCGTAAATAAATATTTACGCATTTACGCGATAAAATGGCTAACATATTACGCGATAAAATGGCTAACAAATATTCGCAAATAACACGTGTTTTTGAGTCTTAAACGCGCGTTTAATACCAGGAAAACATCATATTGAATATCCTCAGTTTACCTTAGTTTATACGAGTTTACAAGAGTTCTAAATGCGAGTTTGATACTCACTAAGCGTCGTATAGTATACTTGTTTTTATACGCATCTGCTGCGTATTTAAAATGCGTGTTTGACACGAGAAAATGGCTAACATACGCACTAAAACAATGCGCATATAAACAAGTTTCCAATGCGCATTTACAACTAAATGTGCCGACTGGGATGGTAGTATATATTTTTGAAAACGTTGTTGTTTGGGAAAATCTGGTGTACTTATATTATAACAAAATTTAATATATTATAACTATAACAAAAATAACTTATATAGTTATAGAAATTAAAAACCATAAATTAGTGAAATGTGTATAAATTAACAGGATTAAATAAATTTACAACTATAAAAAAAAATAAAGTTTAAAAACTAATTAAAAACAGTTATTGATGCTATTACGAAGATACAGCAACTCAAAGTATCTATATCATGCGAAACTTTCTTTTGAAGCTTTTTTCGGCACATTCTTCAACCATTCGGACATAAATTTCTGCAATTCTTTAACAGACACACTCCATGTTTTGCTGACAACATCAACAAGAATTTGAAAAATGTTTGGTAGTTCTCTGCGCAAAGACACGCGATCGCAGTATTCTTTATTTGGAATATGGTTTCCATACAAAACATTAACTTTTGTTTGAATGTTAACTGACATTACAGTGTTTATTGCACCATTTATATGTTGACGTGCATTGCTACATGTTAGACCAACGACTTCTAATACCTTCTTCATTTTACTCTTATATAAGGCGTCAATAATTAATTTTGAATTAATTTCTTTAAGCTGGTCAATTGTTTCAGCTTTGATAATCTCATTATTTCCATCTTCATTGTCCTTATTTGATATGAACTCTAAAATCCTTTTTTGACTTTTTTCAATGTTTTTTAAACGTTCTTTGTGATCATTTAAATGCATAAAAAGTTTATGCTGAAATTGAGCATTTCCGAGTGGATAGCACTCATTTGCTGCTGATTTTGGACGACCAACTTTTGCATTGGTTTTGATTGTTTTTGTAACAATTTGAGAGTGGTTGCCAGAAGTTGTTGCTATTTCTTCCGTATCATTTTCAATGATTTCGTTTTCCGTATCATTTCGTTTTTTTTTAAAAAGAGGTTTTATCGTCTCTTCGTCTGCACTGTCATCTTTTTGATAACTCCTTCTTGAAGTTTTAGTTTTTACCAAAAGATCTAAAATAAATAAAACTTAAAATCAAAACAACTATAATATAAATAGTCTGAGGTTAGTCTTGCTCAGACTATTTATTTAGATTGTAAAAAACAAAAGCTCTCCCTGTTTATTTATTTTGAACGTTTTTAGAACCAAACTAAAGTTTATTTGGACGCAATTTTAATTTTTTTAATAATCACTTTTTAACACCATAAACAAACACTTAAAATTAAATTGCTTTAGTTTATGAATAGTTCTTTATTTACTTAACAAAATTATAAAAACAGTTTTTAGAAAAATATTAAGCCTCGTTTGTAAGCATTCAGGAGGAACGCTTACAAACGAGACCTAATATAGTATTTAATTAAATTATATTATTTTTTTAATAACTATTTCCCAACCATTCAACTCGTGTTTGCACCACCCTGTTTATCAATATAATCTAAGTTCCTATCGTGAACTTTATCCTAATCGTGATTTGAATCAATATCAATCAACCAATATAATCTAAAACAAGGTTGCTTATGAGTAATTCATAGTGGCAAATGTTAAAATAATTAAAATATATATACACCCACCTTGAGTAATGCTGTACACTTTTTCACTGGCAATATGTGGTATAGAAGTGAAATCCACAACTGATAAGTCTTTCGCCTTTACACTCGGTTTAATAATATTCGAAGACATTTTAATTGGTCTTTTCTGCACACTTTTAAGTTCTGCAAAATAAAAAAACAGTTAAATTTTTTGAATGTCTGCATTTGAGAATATAATAATATATAAAATGCTAACCAAAAACCGGATAATCTAGCAGACTTCCATCATCTTCTTCGTGTTCTGTAAATATGTATTATATATGTTCCATAAATAATTTTTATAAAAGTAATGTAGACATACTTTAGAAAAAGTAACAAAAAAAAAAAAAAAAAAAACCTTCATTTTGTTGCTCCATGCCACAAATCAGCGGAATTTTTGCATTAACATCAGACAAATCACCTATATGAAAAATAACATGATAAAATATAGTCAGTAATACCCTGAAATGCCAAAACACAGTATATTGGAAAATAATAATTTGACAGAAATCAACAAAGAAGTGTTTTGCAATATCTCTCTGAGATTGATCAGTGAAACATGGAAAATTATATACTTGAAATATATGAAAATATATATAAAAATTTTAACCATATTTAAACAGTTTACTTTTCATGTTAAAATTTGGATAAATATAATAAATTTATAGTAATTTTATATATATAATAAATTTATAATAACTTAAAGAAAAAATAATATTGTAATTTAATGTGTTTAGCATTTCACAATGTTAAACACAGAGAATGTTACTAACTTCATATAATATTATTTTTTCTTTACACTTTTAAATTAATTATTACAATTAATTTCAAGTTTTAATAGTTTTATCAAAAACTATTGATCAAAGTATCACAACCTTTAATATATATATGAATATAATATAATCATAAAGCTTAAAAATACTAACAGATACATTTTATGCCTACCTGATACTGACCTTAATATGTAATGTAAGATTTAATACAATATTTGTTTTAAATAAATAAGGTTTTTAATAGACAATTCTTTTAACATTAATTATAAACAACAAAAAATGTCGGGCAAGATTTTTTTTTTTAGAACCTGTGATTTCTGAATTATCTTGAGGCAAATCATCTTCAGTTGAAATACCAGCTTTCATAAGCTGGACAAGTTCATCAAAACAACCTAGAACAGATTTATGAAACCTAATAACATTTTTTAAGCCTTCAACAAATTAAAGAAACAAAAATAAAATGTTAACATACAATCAGTTTATTAAAATCATGAAATAAATATACAAACAACTTACTACTAATACGCTTTTAACAAGCTTAAATGAGTACCATGAAGGATTTGGCTGTGTACACTCTGCAATCATCACCCTTAGTGGATCAACAAGTTTTGATGGATATCTAACAACTTCACTGGCTTCATCCACCCAACAAAAAGAAATAACATCTTCTATTTCTGTTTCCTTCTCAATCCACACAGCTAAACAGTACAATTTCTAAGAAACAAATAGTGATAAATGTCCATATATTGATTGATAATGCCAGCATTTTGAAAAATGATAAATTAGGAATTACAGATACCTGGACAGTAATTGATTTATGATTTCTCAATGCAGCCTGAAACATTCTTCTTCGCTTGATAATTATAAAAAAATTTGATAAATTCATTTGAGTAATTCCATTTTTATCAATAATAACATTAATTTAATTAAATAAGTATAAAAGATGTAAAGAAACATTAACAAATAAAAGAATTATAGGATATAAATTGTTCTGAGTTTAAAAAATATATTATCCAATAAATTTAAAAAAACTTATAATTTTTCAGATGTCTTTACTAATAGATTAAAAATAGAATAAAATGCCCTTTTTATACCAATCAAAAATAAGGAAGTCAGACATATTGACTTTCTGTTGCTATAGCAAAAGTATTAAAACAAAAACAAAAAAAATTCAGGACTGGCTCATTTTAATTAACATGCATTTACTATGAGCCATTAGTCTGGGAAAATTGACAAAAATTAAAAAAGTCAGACATAATTATTATTAAATTATGCATTAAAAATTTAAACATAAAATAAAATTTTAAATGAGTATTTTTTGTTTTCTTTAAGTAAATATTATTTTTAAACATTTACATCATTTTAGTTTTAAATTATTATTAATTGATAAGTATCTATTTATCTCATTATTTAATTTATTTGTTATCCCATTTATCTTTATTAATAGTTACATATATGCACGGATTGTTTAAAATAGTTAATTACAATTGCATTATATCTATGGAATTTATTAAACTATAGAAACTAAAGAACAATAAATACAATCAAATTTATGCCAAACTTTATATCCAAATTCCAAATTCTAAATAACAAATAAATTTAGATCATTAATATTGCAAAATATCAATTATAATTTAAAATGTTTATAAGAATCTAATTCTTGATATTAATAAGAAATTTCACAAATGATTTCAAGAGCAATCTAGAATAGTTACTTCAAGGTAAAAAAAAAGGACAAACCAAGATAAAAAATTTGAAAAAACATTTATAAAACAATTTTCTTTATAACTATTATTTTTTTAATATACATAACTTTTAATTTCTTTAATGGAATTAAAAAGAAATGAATTGAAAATAAAGATATATTTAAAAAAAATAAAACATAAATAATCAACAAATAAGTAAATAAAATTAAATATATATCATTTACAGCTATTTATAATAACATATCATGAAATTTAATTGACTTCATGTAACATAGGAAAGAATGCCAATTCTCC